AAGATAAAAGTATTAAAACAAAACAAGACAGTACCACAGTACCTTCTAGTCAATCCCAATGGAATTAGACCCCTGAAATAGTCAGGTATTTCCAAGTTGCACTGAAGCAGCTTTCATTAGAATATATTCTCATCTCTGTGACCTGCAAATGGCCAGCTGATAATTCTTCATCCCATGAAAGGTTTCACCAGGCTGCATCCTGGAACTGCCATAGTGCTGATGCACGTAAACTTGCTCACAAAGGAAAGGTTGTGCCTTATTTTTCCTGGCCTGTTGGGAGTGTGCAGCTCCTTGCTGAGAGCAGGATGGATGAGGGCAGAGTTCTGGGCTTGGCAGAGGCTGCCCAGCACTCACTGCAGGGCTGTGTCCTTGTGTTTCATGCACCTCTTTGGACAATAAGAGATTGCAGGTTGGCATCACTCTGCACAGCAGCAAATTCAAAGCTGAGGTGTTTTCCTAATGTATCCAGACACACAGCAGCAAAATATTTTATGACATAATAAGACTCATTCTCTGTCACTAATTTATCCATAAAACTCCAACAGTCACTAAAAAAGTTAAGAAAGGGCTTCTCTGACAGTGCTTTTCTCTTTGTTCTGTTTTCTGTCACTAATGTGTGTTTTATTTGGCATGAATGCTGCAGCCCAGCACAGATGGCTCACACAACACACTACTGAAAAATGGAATTTTGGGCTGGAAAACACAACAGAATTCTAACAACAGCTCTTCTCAGGAGCAGTTCTGTGCAGGAGGAACAAATACCTTTCCAATACCCTTGTTCTTCATCACATCACTTCAAATTATGGGCAACCAGGCTCTGTCACAAGGGGATGCCCTGCACTGAAGAGCCCCATTGATTTCAGTGCAGTTATTTGGGAAATAATGTACTGAGTAATGTTATCAGAGTTTTCAGCCTGCTGCAGTGGCTTTACTTAGCAGCATTAAAAGTACCAATTGGAAAAAAAAAATGAAGTGGTGGAACACCTGGATAAGTGTTTTCTAGTCAGTAATCCCAGACAATGTTCTCAAACTAGAGGGTGGCAGTATAAATGCAAGGCTAAATTACAGTAAAGGTTCCTACATCCCCCTTAAAAGGGAAACTTTCATATAATTAAAGAAGGCATAACTAGGACAATCTCACTCATGGGTTTGTTTCCATTTTGACATGAATTTTGGTCTAAAAGTTTAGGATGTTTGCCTTCCTAAGGCAGATATTATGAATTCCTAACAGAAAATGCAAAATACATTTTTCCTTTTTATTTATTACCACCTTTGATCCAGACCCTTGGAATGACAATTTACTGTTTCTGTAGGGACAACCACTGCCTCTTAGAGAGGAAAAAATGAGACATTTAAAGCAGTGCTCAAAGTAGAGATTTCTCTAAGTCATTATTTCTGCTCCCTGTTCAGTTTGTGAGCTTCAATATAAATACTTTTTTTTCTATTAAATTTCTGTTAAAGTCCTGTGGCTTAAAGATAACCAAGAACAAAGAATATAAATTAATAAAATAAAGAAACAAATTCCCAGTTAGCATAAACGAGCTCTCTCCTTTCTCTCCACTACTGAAATTGAAAGCAGTAGTAGCCAATGGTGACCCAAAGCATTCTCCTTCTCTAAATAAACCTTTCATAAGAAAGAACACAGAAAACAGCACTGGCAGTATTAAATCTGTCCATCATGATCTTTTCTGGATGTTGAATAGACTCCTTTTATAAATCTTTTCTATCTTCTTAATGAAAATTAAATAAAATGCTCCTGCTTTTTACCAGGTGGACATAGATTGAGTAAACATTTGACATCTCCTATCAGCTAAGTTTAAAAACCAAACTTGTCTTCACAGGTGTCCTTTCCCAAAAAGAAGCCACAAAGATATATCTGCACTGTCCTTCAAGGCTGTTACACTGCTTCTGCAGTGCCCCTTCTTGGTGAAATTGCTTGCACAAGACTTGCATTCAGAAAGAATCTAAAGAAGACATAGTTTGCTTCCAATGATTTCTTATTCAGTAGTCCCCAATTTCCCAGGGCAAGCAGTTCTGTTTTCCCTCTTCTTTATCTAAGGACAATTTCTAACAGACTTTCATCCCCAGACTGGTTTCAAAGACAAAATTGGGCCAAGGAAGTCATCAGGGTTTTGGTTTTATTTTGGTTTTTATTTTTATTTTAGATGCACTTGCTCCATTATTCTTTAATTTTTATTCTTGCTTTCTCTTTACCAAATGGATTTCACTTTTAAGCGTTTTCTAACATTTTATTTAGAAGTAAATCTTGCATCTCCAAAAACCACAGTCCATAAAAAATTAGTCCATAAAACAAGGGATCTTTCAACTCAGAATAAACAGGAAAATAATCTGAACTGTCTGAATAATCTGGAGCTGTCTACTGTGGACTTAATAGTAATACTGCGAGGACCGTAATACCAAAATACATCCCCAGTCTCAAGTCTGGAAGAAGATGTTACTATTTCAGCTCTCATCATTTATTGAATGATAATGATTTATCAGTTTATTTGTTTAAGAAAAGTCAAAATCTTGGGGAAATGATGGCAGAGGACTCACAGAGATCACCTATATAAAGACATCTATCCACAAAAGTCTGATACAAGAAACCAGATCAATAAAGGTCGTGTGTAAGGGAGAAGACAGACCTTATTTCATCCCTACATCTTCTCATGTGATTAATAATTCCTTCAATTTTCCTTCTGCCTGTAAATCCAGGCCTTTCACACAGTGGTGAGGGGATATCCAGGTATCCCACAGGTACCAATCAGTGGAGCTGGACCTCTCACCTTGTGGGATGTGATCAGGAAAGGGAAGATTGAGAATTTTTTCCCTATGTTTTTGTAAATCCATATCTGCATGTGACTACAAAGGGTAACATTCTGCTGGAACAAGGAGGAACAAGAGCTTCAAAATATCAAAATGTTCAAAGCTGATATCTACTATGGTTCTGCACAGTCCTACTCTGATGGTATCTGTAGATAAGAAACCAAGGAAAGGCAGGAAAAATTTAAACTGCTCAAACTTTCTTTTCTGATTGTTGCTCTGTTTCTCCACTACCTATTTAATCATACATCATCATTATTTATTCAATACATGACAGATAGGCATTGCACCAAATACAGTAGAGGTGTACGACTTCTACATAAACAGCATTGGTTTTACTAAGAAAACCCTGCAAACCTTTTGCAATATCAGGTATTCATACCAATCACTGGATTCTGCTGTGAATTTTAGAGATTTTACTGTCATAGGTCCCTCTTAAAATAAAATCATCTCTTTGACCCTTGAGGCTCAGTAAAGACCATGAAGCCCAAAGAATCACAAAGACACGAACAAAAATGAAATCCTCTAAGCTGATGAGATGGTAACTATGGGTTGCCTCAGTGATCAGTGTTAATTTACAAGTGCAAAAACCATTATCATCAACAAAGGTATATTAATTTTCATTTTTCAAGCAACTAGCCCTTTTAAACACTGCAATTACTAATGACTTAGGAATCAGACTTAATAATACACAAAAATAAACAGCCCTTTTAGATAATAGATACTTTCTTTTATACTGGCAAATAATACAGAGAAATATTGTTTGAGACATCAAAGACAGGCACTGGTGCAAAACTGAAATGCTGATTAGAGGCACAGGTAGCAGATTATTAACTGCAGTACTAATACGTGTCCAGGACTTTAAGTCATCACATAATTAGAAAACAGGAGGAATAAAACCATACAAAAGACCAGAACTTCCTTACTTAAAGTGTTACACCACAAATGAAACCTCCAGTACCAAGGAAATAAATCCAGACAATAATAGTGATCTCTCCATAAATTATTCAGTCCCTTGTAAAACACAATCACAGTAGACTAAATTCAAAATCTAAAGTTAAAACCCATTCCCTCCCCCTGAAGTTAGGAAATTAGGATAAGAATTTTTAACAAAAATGAAACTGTTGGAAGACAATTACCCAGATGAGCAAAGCAGAACCAATCCACTTGGGGACTGAGTTGACCAAATTCAAAACATCAAGAACAGACCAATGACAAAAACCAACAACCCAAAAGTAAAGCAGAGTAGCAGACACTCGAAAATAAAATTGACTGGTGTTCAGAATAAATTCCCTGCTGTTACAGATGTTCCAGGGAATACCCCTATGTCAGTATTCTGAAGTTACTGTTCTGATCTCCATTATATCCCAGGACCCAGCTCCTGCTCTCAGGAGTCTTAGCATGCAGTATTTTGGTAGAATATGCAAAAGAACCCCCTAACAATCATGTTGTCTCAAGAGCTTTATCATGCATGTGACTATTCTGAAAAAATAGCAGAATAGGCTTTTTTTACCATAAATAGAAGGTACCAGAAAGACACCAAACACCTCTACCAACAGCACGAGCGCATTCTATTGAATGTATTTGAAACAATCAAAAGTAACTTTTTCTCATTCTCTAATTCATTACCTGGAAAAGAAATACTGGATGTATTTGAATGACACCCATACCACTTCTCAAAACCACAATGAAGCTCAAAACAAACAGGTAAAATGATGTTTTCATAGCATCCTTCACTTTTTCAAAGCATAAAATAATCGTGGTAATTAAAAGTTAGTCTCTTCCACTAGCAAACTCTACCCTCTATGGCTTAAAAGTTCTTAAAAAATTAATTTACCTATCTATGAATTAAAACATCAGGGTTATTCACAGAAACAAACAAAAAAAAAAGTAGAAAAAGAAAAAAAGGAAATAAAAGAGAGAAACTCTTCTGCCTGGACAGCTCAGCAATGGGAATACCTGTTTCATGCAGCATGACAGCAGGCTCCTCCAGAAAATACCTGCAATGTCTTTATATCCCAGCCCCAGCATACAAACCTTATATTTGACACAGAAAATTTAAAAATACTTGATGCCTCTCTTCTGCTTTATTTTTTTTCCTTTAAAGTACATTCTCACATATAATATGAATTGCATTGCAGATAGCAGGGATTAGTGGAAAGCTGAAAGCTTCTTACCAAGCACCCCAAGGCGATAGTTGACTGTGATGACTATCACATTCCCATAACTTGCTAGAACACTGCCATCATATAAATTTCCAGTGCCTTCCATGTAGGACCCTCCGTGAATATACACCATGACAGGCTTAGGTCCCCCACTGTCCCGAATGTCTGGAAAAAATATTAAGACACATTTTATCTCAAGAAAGCACCAAAGAAGATACATGCAATATTTAAATTTTTTTTTAATTTTATTTTTTTAGTGAGGTTATTTTTTTGTCGAAGTGTTTCTCAAGCAACATCTTTTACATAAGGAAATGGGCAGGTGGGAACAAGTGTTCCTTTGTGGCTTGCTCATAACTAAAACTCCTTTTTTTTTTTTTTGAAACACTCTGAAAAGCAGAAAGGAACTGAAAATGGTAACACATTTGCTCAAAAGCATTGAGGCATTGCTCTGATTCTGACCCTGCTTAGTTGGGTGTCTTCTGTGTAATGTCTGCTAACATATGAGTGAGCTCATTTTGGCTGAACACTTCTAAAGCTCAGTGCAACTTTCTGTTATCCTAGTTAAGGGAAATCCAACATATTAAGATAAACAAGATTTCTGCTCCTACATAAAATGTTGGTTTCTTCCACTCCCTTAATTTGTAAAAGTCATGTACAAACAGCTGTCTTTGCATGGGTCTGCAGTTTGAGTTCAAAAAGTACTTGTAAATTTTTTAGCAATTAGACCTTGAATTAAGATTATTGATAACTTCTGCAGTTTGAGTTCAAAAAGTACTTGAAAGTTGTTTAGCAATTAGACCTTGAATTAAGATTATTGATAACTTCAGGGTATCCGGAAGTTTAAGGTGCATGGGTACTTCTTAGTTTCCTAAATCATGAAAAGGACTGAATATTTGAAAAAATAACTGCCTGAAACAATACTGAAAAATCCCCATCCTGCCTTAAAAAAAAAAAAAAAATTGCAAGGCTCTCAGAAGTGACATCAAAGGCAGGGAACAGTTTTAAAATGTTAGAAGCTCTGCCATTCTCTCTGACAAAAAAAAATTAGATATTGTCATAGTGTTTTGAGTTTGATTTAGGTATCCCTCCACCCCTCAACAGTCCTATTTGCAAACGGATGCATCTACTCAGAATAAAATTCTGAATATATGAACAGTGTTACTGCTCTGGAGGAGAATTGTTCCTGAGTACCAATTCAAAACAGTTACTATGGGCTGATATGTTTAAAAGTTGAGGGGTTTCTGTTGGACAGGAAATAAATCAGCTTAGGGGTAAATTTAAACTCTTACATCTGATTAAATTGCATTTTGTTCTGATATACTGGGTGCCTGAGTCTCCTCCACCACCCAAATCATAATATGCCATAATAGTCCCTCAAAACCAAAAAAGCCAATAGCAAGACAGCATAGGACAATTTCCCAGTGCTGAACTGTTCTGAACATTCTGATTCAAAACCACTTTTTTTGTCATTACGACAGTATTCAAGTAACTTCTCTGATTGCTTCCTTCAGCATTTGAAGAAACCTCAGATGTATTGTTTATTCCTTTGATTTGGGAGGATCTTAGTTTAGAAGCTTTCAAGGGAGCTCTCTGCGGAACTGTTGGAATTGTTTGTGAAGGAGCAGGTGGGGGCAGCTTCCCTAAAAACCCTGCTTTTGGAATGAGTTGAAAAACAGCAGCACAGATGTTCCTGTTTATAAAAAGCCAACTGCTACTATTACTTTGATATTGATTCTGATTTGAAGAAAATGCCAGAACAGTCAGGATCAGAAATTGGACCTTCAATATTGGAAGTACTAGAAAAATCACTTATTCGAAACAAAAAGATGATGAAAGGTTGTGCATGAAATTGCTTGTATTGCTCTCCTTGATTGTGCTTTTAGTGAGGGCTTTACAACATACAACTTTCAGAGTGTAAAGCTACAGATATTATTTATCTTCACTGTCCATAGGATGGAGTTATGAGCTTCTCAGGCTTAAACTCTACACTGAAAAAAAATCTTTCCAAATTCATATACTGTTTCTAGTAGGTGCTTGTTCTTAGTCTATGCTGCCCTTTTTTTTTTTTTGATACAAATATGGAAGCAATAATAAATTATTAATCTGAAATCACTGTGTGACTGTTCCCAGCAGAAATTGTACACAGTTAATTGTATGCTTGATGGTAACACAGGGGGAAACTGTCTCAGAATTCTTCTTTAATTAAAATTACATAGAATTACAGAGCACCAACTGTGAACAGCAATGAAATGTTGGTATCACTGGCCTGTATATCTGGAAAATAATATTGGAATATTTCGAAAAGAATGAGTGTCCTTTATCAGAGAAAGGAAGCACACATTCATGAATAAAAATCTCATATATAAGGAAGTTATTATTTGAGTAATTTCTGTCTCTACAATACTGTTATTTTCTACAACTAATATCCTTGTAAAGATTACAGATCAGATAGATAAAGGAAGGCCAGTTTTCAGCTCTCTCTGTGCCACGTCAGAGCAAATGACATGCAGAATGAATTTTCCTCACGCTGCTTTGCCAAAACCATCAGAGGAATCCCTCCCACAATAGGAAAACTCTGCCTCTGAGTGTCTTGGGCAGGGATCTAGTGCTGGGGACATCAGCCAGGATATGCAGCATTCAACTGAGGCTGGTGGCACTTTGGGCTATGGATCATACAAAAGTTTTCCTGGGAAAAAGAAATATCACTGCATTTTGGTCAGAGGTTTCATATCAGTTGCAGTCTACAGCCAGGAGTATTTGAAAGGTGCAAATATTCAGCTGGGAGGGTGTTGTTTCAATACATATGTTATTAGCAACTGAGGTTATTAAATTATAAGATTGAAGGAAGAGCAAAAAATCAAGAATTTTAATCAAGAATTGATTCCTACCTTAAAATGTTCCTCCGTGAAAACTCCCATCCTTTAGAACTAAACTGGAGGAAGAATTAAGGTAATGCTCTGTGAGAACGCTTTTGTGTATTAGTACAAAAGTGGCAGAAAGATGCACTTTTCAAAAAGTGTCCAACTCAATGAAGTAAATAATTGATATTTTTGGTACTCAGGTACTTTTCAAAACCTGACCATAAATGATAAATCCTTTTTTTTGCCCTACAGGCTGGTGTCAGTCCTTTCTATGCATGTGCTAGAGTGATCTCAGGACACTGCAGTTTCACTTCCATATACAGATTAATAGTTATTCAAGGATGAAGATTAACAGTTATTTGTGTTTGTAGCTCATTCTGAACCTGAAGACTTTAGGTGTAAATGTGGCGTTTCTGCCACGGGTAGATTTATAGACTGATTTAATTTAGTTGTGTTCTGCAATTTTGTTGCCTTTTATTAAGTGTTGCTTTAATTAAAAACAGACACATTCATCTTTTCTAAGACATATGCAAGGATAGCACTGTTAAAAATCCTTCTCAAATTCAACTCAGTTCTGGTTTCAGTCACTCATAAGATCATTTTTGAGTGCTGTGATTTGTTTGGCTTTCAATTGCTAGTTCATAAAACATCTAAGTAGTTCTTACTGTACAGCAGAGAATAACCTTATTTATATTACATATACATTAATTTTCTTGTAATTATTTCTATTATTCATTCTCTTCTGTACCTTTCTAATGTTTGTTGCATCTACTTTTTATGTCTCATCTTAATTGTGTTACAGACAATTTAGGAATGGGGCTGACTTTTATTCTATGTTTGTTACATTACACAACAGGGAACCAGGTCTGACTGTGAATATCAGTCACAATTGTCATATATAACAAAACATAATTATAGCTTCAGTCATTCAAAACTGCTGTGAATTGGCCATGTGACTTAACAAGCATAATTTGCATTGGAAAACCAAAATGGGAAAGGAAAAAAAGCCTACCTTGAGACAACTTCACACAAAAAGATAATTAGTTTAGCACTGATGTCACAAGCATTGCTTTTCTAATGGTATAAAAAAATTGTGACAGCTTGATGCAGAGTAAGATTGTTAAGTAAATCTTGGGTTTTGAATGTGAAAAAAACCTAGAACAGTGGAAACCTTTCAGATTGGTGAGTGCAAAACCTCTGTGTGCCCTCCATAGGATGCTATGTGGATATGTGTGTGACTCTTCCATAACCTTCTGTAGAAAATATTTAAGTAGAGCATGGTACCAATCATTGCTACTCTTAATAATTTTAAAGCCTTTTAACAGCATTTGACCTTTCAGTTTGAATCCATAAGATGCCTTATAGATGCACTACCATTTAATAAACTAGTGCACTTAGTCCTTATATTTAAACATCCATTAATGCCATGTTTTTAAAATGAGATATAAAACTAGGTATCCTGAGATTATCAAGGATATCTCTATATATATTATATCAATATAACTATTGAGCTTCTGTAAGGAATTTCCAATATGTTTTCTATTTTAAAATATAGCTTGCATCCATCAGGCTTCTGACAAATAGAATTCTCTCCCTTTGTTTGTTTTCCTGCCTGTCAAACCAGGGGATCATTTCCCGCCTGTCAAACCAGGGGTGCACTCTCAAACCCTTAACTACCTTCACCTGAAAATTCTTTGAGATCCTGATGGAGGACTATACAAACGTTATCCTAGCATGAAAAAGGCCAAAGCTTTTACAGGTAAACATCTGGAGCAGATTCCCATTAGAGTAGGACCTCAATAGCCAGGTAAGCACTCATTTTAAATTATTAAAGGATGATTAGAACTGCAAAAGCTGACAGACTCTTCACTGTACAAGCAATGCTTGGCAGTGCTGAAAGTGAAATGAAGCCCTAAAGAGGTACTTAAATTAAAGGTCTGTCAGGATTTTATCATGCATGTTTTCAAGTATTAATAACATCACCACAAAAATTTGACACAACTTGAACAGAGTGTCTGTGCATAAAGGGAAAATATAATCAGCACAATTTAATGTGTAAGTGGCACTGGAAGCTGTGCTTTGGAGAGCAAATCAGGGAGCTAACATGAATGGGTGACAGGGGCAACAGGAATCATTAATTTGGCTATGTGCATCAGTCAATAATCACCCAGAGTGGTCAGATCTGTGCTGCCCCATCCTGGCTGGCTCTCATTTTAACAATATGTTTTAAGAAACCATTTGAAATTGTAATTTCAAGGCTGGAGCATGTGGTTGCTTTGCAGGACAGACAAATGTGTTCTCCTGTTTGCTGATCTCCCAAGTCCAAAAACATGCAACCAGTGCCAGACAGAGAGAGTGCTGCTCCCCCTCTTTCTTACCATGGCAGCTGAAGGCAGATGAAATGCCAAACTTGGCATCCCAGAGTATTTTAGGAGCAATGGAGTGACAGGGGGCTGTGGAGAGCCTCAACTCTGCCATGTGCTCCTTCACACCAATGGCACTGCAGGCTGTTAAGCATAAGGGGGGACCTGTAGATGAATTCTGCATCATTAGCAACTTAAAATTTGAGTTGGTTTTTGGCTTTTTTGATTTAAAACTTGCTCTGGACCAAGAACTTCCTTCTGTCAACAAAGTCCAATAGCCCATACGAGACAGAGCACCAGACTAAATTATCAGAATCATCACAGTTACAGCCTGTGAGCAAACAGCAGCATCTGCTCCTAATCTATCTCCTTTTCCACAGGAGAAATTGAGAGGGAGGAGGGAAGAGCAGAAGCATCCATCAACTGCAGTGCAGGCCCCGCTTGTGAGGCATGTGCTCTCAGCAACAGACTTGGTGTCTGCCTTCCTCAGACTTGGCATCTGCACTCTTCCTTTCTAAAAATGGAAGAGCAGCATTCCTGTACTGCAGGGGGATGCTGTGAGGCTGAATGCATTAAAAACTGAGAGATGCTCAAGCAGCTCTGGGGACTAAATAAGGATTTAAGATTTGCAGGTTGATGTGCCAGGCAAGGTGTGTGTGATAGAGCAGGGGATGAGAATTCATTTGTGAGCAATCCTTCATGGATATTTCATACAACACTCACTGCTTAGAAGTCCAGCTCTGATCCCAGAGTGCATTGGCTGGTTAATGGTTTGTGTTGCCATATTTTAGGTCATGCTTAGGATTTTAGTGGATAGGAACTAAGGGTGCATAAGAACCACTGATTTTTGCTATTTATTAAATTTTTGCCAATTAAAATTATTACTTGACCAAAATTAGGATTGAGAGAAGACAGTAAAATTAAAATGTTTTACTTTTTAAAACTAAGCCTTGTTTCCAGACTGGGGAAGGCAGACTTTGTGTAACTGCTGAGCAATTTGAATGCAAATCTTGCATCTACACTAGATATTGCATACCTGCAGGTCAGCAAATGGGCAAATCCACCACTGCTACAAAAAGGCAAAACCCCAGTGCTCACTGGTTGCAAATCCTTTTGCCACTTTTGGTTTTGGTGCCTGCTCAAGTTGTTCAATATTTACCAAAACCAGGTAAGCAATAGAAGTGTAGGAATGAAAGGGTTAAACAGAAAGAATAATGCATCCAGACTGGGGGAAAAAAGGCATTTATTTGATTTCTGACTTTTCACACTCATAGAATTTGAAAACACCTTCATTTTTTAAACAGCAAATTTGCAGATCATTAGCTGGTAATGTGCACTACTGCCTTTGGGTCTTTTGAAAACAAAAATGAAAAATGATCTAATTAAGCCTGGTCTACTGGTTGCAGCACATACCAGAGATGCAAGTTTGATTGCTGACTCCAGTGCCTGTGCTGGCAAGGCTTGGACCACAACACTGTGGTAGTGGCATGCAGCACCTGATGGGAGTAGGATTATTGAACAGTGCTTTAAAGGGAAATCTTCTAATCAAGCTCAGATATTTGAGTGGCACAACACAAAGTGATCTCCAGACATTTGCTACAGAAGCTGCTATGGAAGATCTTTGTTCAGAAAGATATAATACAATAAATAACATGAGATCTCTAGATTTTTTGATGTAGAGACCATCCTGGGCATTTTAGAAATTACTGTGCCTTGTTTCTATAACATGGACTCTGTGGATATCTGATAGCAGTTGTTTTGCACCAGCCCACTCTCCCTTAATGCTCCACTTTCTTCATTCAGTTTAGCATTTATTTTATTTTTTCTACAGCTATTTGTTTGAAGGATTTTACACTGCCTAAAATCTACCATACTAGAAAAAGTGAAGGCTTTGAAGGACAGCTTAGCAGAAAACTAGCCAGCTAAGGTGACCTTTTGCTTGGCCTCTCTCTTTCCTGCTACTCATACCCAAACACATGGCTGAGTTTGTGAACTCTTCAGTTCTGCACATGCAACAGGTGCTGGAGTTTCACAAAAGAGCAGGTTCACAAAAATGCAGGAGTTCACAAAAACGCAGGACACCTGATCCTGCTCCTCCCCTGGGAAATGCATGGTCTCAGCAGAGAGGGCTTCTGTCAACGCAGCAGACACCCCAGCAGTCTTGAGTGTCTGGTGATCATAAAAATTTAAATTTTCCCTGTCTCTCTGTGCCTCTCGGAAGCAGTAAAAGTCTAATTACTGCCTGCACTCTTCTATTGGCACAGAAAGGAGAACAAAACTGTCACTTGTACACCAGAGAAAATTAATCCCAGTCCTATAAATTACAGAGATTTATTAGTGTTGTAAATGTGCTTCTTCCCCCCTAGTTTGAGTGCTGTGTTCTTACAGCCCTTCCTCTCCCTCCTGCAATTGTCAGAGCAGGAGACAAGTTTTCCCTGACATGGACACTTGTTCTCAGCAGACTGAGATTCCCTCCTCTCATATGAGCCTACCTACTCCAGCACTTTCTGACAGCAACCACTCTCTGCTGAATTTCAGTAAACTGAGGAGCCTCTTCTCAGCAGAGAAGGGCTCCACAAACCTGATGTTATTAGCATCTGTCTTGGCAATTATACAGCAATTTAGGAGAGCTATTAAGGCCCACTGGGTGAATAGCCCAAATTTCAAATGGTTTCTTAAAACATATTGTTTTAACAAGACAGAGTCATTCTTGTAATGGCTAATTCACTATCACAGATTTTTGAGATTTCATAAGAATGCCTCTTGCAATATTCTGTCATGGACTCGTGTACAAATGTCCTGACTCCATAAAGCCAGGAGGATCTGAATTGTCATAATTAGCTCTGAATAGTGTGTGGCCTGATTTCAGCTGGGATAGGGTTAATTTGTGCACTCAGGGTGGGAATAATGTTGATATTCAGTCATTTTTGTAATGGCTAACTCACTATCACAAATTTTTGAGATTTCTTAAGAATGCCCCTTGCAATATTCTGTCATAGACTCGTGTACAAATGTCCTGACTTCATAAAGCCAGGAGGATCGGAATTGTCATAATTAGCTCTGTGTGCCCTGATTTCAGCTGGGATAGGGTTAATTTGTGCACTCAGGGTGAGAATAATGTTGACATTCAGTGGTTGCTGAGCAGTGCTCACACTAAGACAAGGACTTTTCAGCTCCTCACCCCCCAGCAAATAAACTGGGGGGGCATGAGAGGTCAGGAGGGGACAGAGCCAGGACAGCTGAGCCCACCAGGCCAAAGGGAAATTCCAGATAATTCCATATCCCATGGCCTCATGCTCAGCATGGAACCTGGGGGGAAGCTGGCTGGGGGTCACTGCTCAGGAGCTGCTGAGCATCTAAGCCAGGGGCTGTGAGCAATTGCTCTGTGCACCACGTGTTTGGCATATCCTCATTGTCTTATCACTATTATTGCTATTATTTAATTTTATTTCTGTCATATTAAACTGTCTTTATCTCAATTAATAATTTTACTTTTATATTTCCTTCCCCAGTTCTCTCCCCCAGGGAGGAGTGACTGGCTCTGTGCTGTTTAGCTGCCTGCTGGCTTAAACCACCACAGGAGAGCTTTCAAAGGAGATTTCCAATTTATCAAAACCATCAAATCTTGCAAATTTTGGCCCAGCTGGTGGGTTTTCATTCGTATGCTTAACATACAGATCTAGTAAAGGATCATAAATCAGTCATAAAATTGTGACAAAATCTGTGTTCAATTATTGGGTAAGAAGTTAAATGCTCAAATTTGCCTTCCTTAATCTTTTCTGGAAAGACTCTGTGCTTCTGTTTAAGTTAAGTAGTTGATGATACCTGTGATGAAAAATTTCTTAGTAAAGAACCTTTCAGCCTACAAGTGAAGTTTCATCTGGCCAACTTCCCCCTGCCACCCCAAATATTAAGAGAGAAGCAAGCAGCAACTCTACCAGTCCTATATGGTAATTTGTTTTACTCATTGACCATAAACCACTCAAAGTGTGTGTTTAAGATTCAGAACTCTGAAGCACATCTACCTGAAGGGATGAGACTGCTCAGGAAAAGAGCCCCTTGTTACCATTTTCATAGCCCTGAAAAAATATCAAATCTGCATAGCTTCATGATCAACAGACATAATTTATGAACAGAATAATATGCTTGACATTTCAAACTTCTGATTTTACTTGGTAATAGGGTTTTCTAAGGGTCAGCTAAAGTAGATCAACATCTTTGTATGCAGAAAACAGAAGAGATGAGTTTGTTTTAGTTTTAGTTTAGCTCCACAGAGCTTCACCAACAGGCAATGCTGCCTCCCTTCTGGAGGGAGGTGGGGTAGCCTTTAATATTAAATATTTTTCATTGCAGCCTAAATGCAGATGGGTTGGCACTTGGGGAAGTTCTGTTGCTTAAGAGACACTTTTAAAGAATGTTCTGAATTTTCTCCTTTTATAAACACAATATTTTCTATGTTTATCAAACTGAGATCAGTCAGTGAAAAAAAAAAAGAAACATCTTTGTACTTGGTGAAATACATAGGGTTAGAAAACATGCAAAAAGGTGTACAGAGAAACTTTAAAAGAGTGTTAGTTTAAAGAGTATGGACAAAATTCAGTCAAAAGGTGGGATGCAACATATCAAAAGTCCATTTCAAGAAAACAAAAACCCTCCTTTTTAAATATTGTTACTGTTTTGTATCAAAACGTAGAACTTAACAACATTCTTTCTTTTAAAAAATTAAAAATATATATGTATAACAACAAGCAAGAAGACAAAACACATCAAAAATGGGAATTAAAAAAACAAAAAAACTCTTCAAAAGAAGACAAGAAGTCAAAAAAAGAGGGGAGAAAAAAGATTTTCAGGGATCCTTGTCATGCAAATCAGTTTGGCGGCAAAAAATACCTTCATCTTCAGCACCGTCATTATCACCTAAATCATCTGTCTGTTTCTTTGTAAGGGGACCTAGGATTAAGAACGGAGAAAATGGAGGAAAAAAGACAATTCAAGAATATACAAGACTGAGGAAAAAAAACAGTGAATATTAAATTCCCACGGACGTCTCAAGAAAAACATTTTCAGGGAGGGAAATCTTAGTTTATAACAACCCATTTTTCATTAAGTTTTTCAAACATTACAGCAAAACCTTCCCTCAGGGGTATGGCTATTAGAAACATCCAGCACAAGAAGCTGAGAGTGCCCAGTGCTTTATTGTTTTTAAATGAAGAATTAAAGCTTGTTTACTAAAAGCATACCCCGCCATAGACTGTAGTTATCTACTTCATTTAATTGTTTTTTTCCTGTTGCTGTTATTAGGAATAGTGGAGACAAGAACTGCCAAATTGCCTCTTGCACTTGATGCAATAAAGTGGTTAATAAAAGGCTTGACAGTTGGTTAAAACAATATTTTCTGTCAAATGCTAATTCACATTTCTAAATTCAACCATTTAAGCTCATGCTTTATATAAAGATAAGCACAGGTTTAATTTTGGGGTTTTTTGACACATTCATCACATTCTCTTTTAAATAGAGCTGTAGATATCCTTGAAACCTTTGACTACCTGCTGAGATATTTGTAAAAAACCATGAAAATCCATATGTAAACCAGAAACAAGAGTGAAATCCCAGACCAACTGAAGACAATGACTTTTGCCATTGGTTTCAATGGGCCAGAGTTAGTTTCATGCAAAAAAGTTGCATTGAATTGAAATTTTAGCTTGGGCAAAGCACCCAGGTTCATAATTCCTTATCTCCATGAAAGGATGATGAAACAAAATTCCTTTATGCCCAACACCTGTATTATTAACAAGTATTTATAGATTTATCATGTTTTCCAATGGGAAAAACACCCACTCTCTTATTGAGAAATAAAAATATACACCAGAAGGAAAGTCAAAGGCCATTCTGAAAATATTTCCATGTCATATATTTTACACACTTATGCACAAACAAAAGACAGTTGGAACTCAGCATTATCTTTCCTTTTTTTTCAGAGCTCTCTCATTTCCATGACATTCTGTAATTTGCATGCGAAAAAGCAATCAGTAGAAACACAGGGCTAAGTAACAAAAAAAGAAAAAGCCAGCCAAGCACAGAGTAGAAAACAAGAACTTCCTCATGCATAAAATAGCAATAGACAAAAACAACAACAAAAAAAGAGATGAACAGTATGTGTTGATATTTGCAGTAGATGTAGGCAAGAGACATGCATTAAATCTAAGCACTGTTGAGTATTAAAACATTTGTATTTAAAAAGCTCTCTGTTATTTTACAGGATATTAGTTATTCAGCATTAAACTTGTCTTTTATAGGCAAAGTACCATGTATTTGAGTGATGCATTTTTAAAAGAAAAAATCATAAAATGCTTTTACCAGGTGCATGGGTCTAAGAAACAGAAAAAAAAAACAAGAAGTACCATGAGACTTTAACTGTGAATGTAGGAACTGGACTGTATTATTGAAAGCCAAAGCTCAATACCTTAATTCCTGCATCAGTCAGGAGTATAGTTTTTAACTCATTCTAAATACAGAACACTAGAATTATACATCATAAAGAAAACACAAGCATTTTTATAATCACACCTGAAACAATCACTCTCTTCAGTTGAAAGCCTTGGTGATGCAGGTTTTTCCTCCTACAAGCCCCGGGTATAATCTTTACAATATTTGGTATCTGGATAATGTGTCCTGATCCAAACACACACATTCAAATATCTCTCTGCCTAGCATTTTCATACCATAACAAATTTACTTCTAAAAGAGTAAAATCAGAAGAATAAAAACTCTAAGCAAAGAATGACAATAGTTTCATGATGGGTTTTCAGCACAGAGAACAGGAAGGGTTAATTTAAGAATGGTGAGAGCTGTGTACTTAAGAATGGAGATGCAGACACAGGCAAGGTTATATGTATTTATATATACACACACACACGTTCTTAACAGCTTCTTATATTTTGAATTTTAAAAGTCACCAGAAAGGTACAAAGTGGCATCTGGAAAGCCAAACAACACACATTTCTCCAAACAACTTGCATAGAGATGGGCAATTTATTTTCTAGATGAAACCAAGATTGTGTATGCTACAATTTTTTTAATAGCTGGCTTTTGGCAGGTATTTTGTGTAGATCATGGTTCCAGATCTCAACTTCAATTACAAAGTGCATCAACCATCTCAAAGTAAATGTCTAGTCTCATACCATTTCTGATTTTATAATATGGTAAAGCATGACTGGGGCTAGCTTTAAAAATGACCTGGATATTTATCATGTTTATGCAGTTCTGAAATTCTCTGAAAAACACTAAAAAAACCACTAAAAAATTAGACCATCTTTCTTAAAATCATAGAATTGTTAAGGTTGGAAAAGACCCTTGAGATCCAGCTCAGGCATTAACCCAGCACTGCCAAGGCTGCCACCAAGCCATGTCCCCAGGAGCCACACTCACACATCTTTTAAATACCTCCAGGGATGGTGACTCAACCACTTCCCTGGGCAGCCTGTTCCAGTGCTTGACAATTCCTTTTTGCAAAGGGGCTGACCTATTTTTAAGCTGTCATAAATTAAACATGTTTTTTAATACAGCCGTAGCTCTGTTTCACAATCCAAGGGCTCTCTGCTCCCCACATCCCCCGAGCAGGAGGACTCATCCCTGTGGAGACACGTGGCAGAGCCACCAGGCACCACTCACAGTGCCTGGGAAACAGATGAGAGATTATTTCTCCCACAAGCTCACTCTGGCCTGCAAATATCATTTATTGCATCTTCAGAGAGGTTTTCTGCTTCCTGGAACTGTAATGCTCTGAGTCCAAGGGACCAAAGCAGAGTTTGGCCCTCACGCAGCAGGTGTGAACTCCTCATATTTTATCTAAACACAAAGAGGTGCTGTGAAGATTAAGTTATATTTTTTTTAATTGCTGGGCTGTCTAAAAGGGCAAAATCAAGGGGTTCAGGAGTAGCTGAACCCCTTGTTTCAAGTACTGAGCCCTGTTATGATCTGTGCTGCCTGCTCCACGTTCAGATGCTGAAGACACTTTCTGAAGTCATGAAAGTGGTATTAAGAGAAGCTCTGGATTAGAATTCCACCCCTTTCAGCAATAACTCTCATTCTAAAATCAGTAAGAAATGGTTTTTGCTTCTGATTCTCCAGATAACTGATTACTCTGACTAACAGCCTCGCTGTGTCTGGATGATCATAAAGAAAGATTGATGTTTTGAGTCCTCACATAGGAAAACACTCTGAAATCACAAGCAGATAAACAGAATAAAAATCTTATGGCAAGAACCTACAAAATGTAGCAGCAATAGCCTTTTTAAGTAAAAATAAATCAGAACTAAAATTGCTTAGTAAGTGTATAATTTTTAGATATTTCCTGCAGCTTTCAATTAATATTCTACAGATAGCTTATGATTTTGTAAATTAAATGTATCCCCCAACTAGGTTTATTTCTTTAGCACCGACTGTTCATTCAATATATGACATTTTAGGGTTCTTGCATCATTTTAATATTCTTTTCAGGTAATAGAAGCTAATTTTAAGAATATTGATACTAAGACACAATGGACTATGAGACAATGAAACAAAAAGGAATATTTTACAAAACTATGATTGCCAGAAGTCTTTTGTCCTCAGTTACTTTTCACTGTTGTTCTACTCCAGCCTTCTCTTCACCTTTTGTGAAGGCCCAATTAATTTTACTTTTTGAGCATTTCACTTTCAAAAATGGGCATCCATTATAAAAATAAAAAGGATTTTACTACGTTTAACTCACAAGCCTTCAAACAGCTAATGCTGCCTTAATATGCCAGCCTAAATTTTAGCCAAAATTTATGTAATAAATATTAAATATCAACAAAGTAATCAGGTACCATAACTAATGGGGGAAAAAGAGGATACTAAAGCCTCTAAAATGCTGATGCAAAGATGATTTACTTACCAAAAGGCTCTCTAAGGTTTAGTCTCATGTTGGTGCATACCCATAACTCTCATTAATGCTAATGGGAAATTAGACCCCTAAGTCACTTTAAAAAGGGGGGAAATAAAGTGATTACTGCATTTTATGTTTCCTAAAGGCAAGGAATAGTCTCGCTACAAAAGCTGAAGAAACTCTGAGAGCAGGAGGCACTCCTAACCAAGCCTATACTCGCTTAATTTAAAAATAGTTCTTGCATTATTTAAATTATTATTCAAATATTTATTCTGTTTGTGTTGCAATCAGTGCTGAGGCACTAACATGATGCATTTTTAGATCCTGATGGTGATTTGTAAATGCCTTTCCTCCGCTCAAAGTAAGAGAAATAACACACCTCCTGTCCAGTTAGCTCAAGAGTAATTATGCTCTCAGAAATAATTAAATCCAGCCATATTAATTCTGGTTTTTATCATTCCCTTTGATGAAGGACTAAAGGTACTTTAGCTCCCAAATACATTAAAGCTGATTATAAATTCTCTCTTTATGGGCTGGATTCGGCAGAAATTATCCGTGGCCTTTCGGGCCGCGGGAGTGCGGGAGGCAGGGAAGCTCTGGGTGCCATTAGCTCTTTGGCCTGGGAAAGCTATTCATCATCAAATAGAGTCATGCTGCAAGTTGACACCATTTTGTAAAACAACAGTGCAAATCCTCTAAACTTAATAAATCAGGGCTGATGTATACAGCCATTGTCCGGGCCAAAATGTTCTCCTTCGGTAATGAGGGAAGTGGGGAAGAAAAAAGGACCTTTTACATCAGGTTAAGTAGGCTCCATGGATCCAGTAATTTAGAAATCACCATAGCAATAATTATTCTTTGAGGTAAAGGTGTCTCTGCTGGATGGAAAGGGGGAGAGACAAGGCTGACTGCTGAAATTATACTTGTAGAAAAATTCACCAGGTTGCAACACTGTGCAATGTGTCCCCAACCAGCTACTGCTATTTCTTCTTCATTAGCCCATTTCTTAATTAAGCATTGAAAATCCATGAAGTGAAATTAC